ATTTTATATGTCGTTATCATGTCTCCCCTGACCCTCCTGTCCTCCAGTGTGGTCAGTGTGTGTGTGTGTGTGTGTGTGTGTGTGTGTGTGTGTGTCTGTGTGTGTCTGTGTGTGTCTGTGTGTGTGTCTGTGTGTGTGTCTGTACTCACCTAATTGTGGTTGCAGGGGTTGAGACTAAGCTCCTGGCCCCGCCTCTTCACTGATCGCTACTAGGTCCTCTTCCTCTCTGCTTCCTGAGCTTTGGCACACCTCTTCTTAAAACTATGTATGGTTCCTGCCTCCACTACTTCACTTGCTAGGCTATTCCACTTCCTGACAACTCTATGACTGAAGAAATACTTCCTAACGTCCCTGTGACTCGTCTGAGTCTTCAGCTTCCAGTTGTGACCCCTTGTTTCTGTGTTCCCTCCCTGGAACATCCTATCTCTGTCCACCTTGTCTATTCCCCGCAGTATCTTGTATGTAGTTATCATGTCTCCCCTGACCCTTCTGTCCTCCAGTGTCGTCAGTCCGATTTCCCTCAACCTTTCCTCGTACGACATTTCCCTGAGCTCTGGGACTAGCCTTGTTGCAAACCTTTGTACTTTCTCTAACTTCTTGACGTGCTTGACCAGGTGTGGGTTCCAGACTGGTGCTGCATACTCCAGTATGAGCATAACATACACAGTGTACAGTGTCTTGAACGATTCCTTATTAAGGTATCGGAACGCTATTCTCAGGTTTGCCAGGCGCCCGTATGCTGCAGCAGTTATTTAGTTGATGTGTGCCTCTGGTGACGTGCTCGGTGTTATGGTCACCCCAAGGTCTTTCTCCCTGAGTGAGGTCTGTAGTTTTGTCTGCGGTCTTCTTTGCCCCTCCCCAATCTTCATGACTTTGCATTTGGCAGGGTTGAATTCGAGAAGCCAGTTTCTGGACCACATGTCTAGCCTGTCCAGGTCTCTTTGCAGTCCTGCCTCATCCTCATCCGATTTAATTCTTCTCATCAGCTTCACCTCATCTGCGAATGGGGACACTTCAGAGTCTATTCCTTCCATCATGTCGTTCGCATATATCAAAAATAGCACTGGTCCTAGAACTGACCCCTGTGGGACCCCACTCGTCACAGGCGCCCACTGTGATACCTCACGTACCATGACTCGTTGTTGCCTCCCTGTCAGGTATTCTGTGTGTGTGTGTGTGTGTTGTGTGTACTCACCTAGTTGAGGTTGTGGGGTCGAGTCCGAGCTCCTGGCCCCGACTCTTCACTGATCGCTATTAGGTCACTCTCCCTGAGCCGTGAGCTTCATCATACCTCTGCTTAAAGCTATGTATGGATCCTACCTCCACTACATCGCTTCCCAAACTATTCCACTTACTGACTACTCTGTGGCTGAAGAAATACTTCCTAACATCCCTGTGATTCATCTGTGTCTTCAACTTCCAACTTCCCTTGTTACTGTGTCCAATCTCTGGAACATCCTGTCTTTGTCCACCTTGTCAATTCCTCTCAGTATTTTGTATGTCGTTATCATGTCCCCCCTATCTCTCCTGTCCTCCAGTGTCGTCAGGTTGAGTTCCCTTAACCTCTCCTCGTAGGACATACCTCTTAGCTCTGGGACTAGTCTTGTTGCAAACCTTTGCACTTTCTCCCAGTTTCTTTACGTGCTTGGGTAGGTGTGGGTTCCAAACTGGTGCCGCATACTCCAATATGGGCCTAACGTACACGGTGTTTACCTGGAGTTTACCTGGAGAGAGTTCCGGTCTGTGACCAGGCCTCCTGGTGGATCAGAGCCTGATCAACCAGGCTGTTGCTGCTGGCTGCACGCAAACCAACGTACGAGCCACAGCCCGGCTGGTCAGGAACCGCTTTAGGTGCTTGTCCAGTGCCAGCTTGAAGACTCCAGGGGTCTGTTGGTAATCCCCCTTATGTATGCTGGGAGGCAGTTGAACAGTCTCGGGCCCCTGACACTTATTGTATGATCTCTTAACTTGCTAGTGACACCCCTGCTTTTTTTTTGGGGGAGGTGCATCGTCTGCCAAGTCTTTTGCTTTCGCAGTGAGTGATTTTCGTGTGCAAGTTCGGTACTAGTCCCTAGGATTTTCCAGGTGTATATATCATGTATCTCTCCCCCTGCTTCCAGGGAATACAGGTTTAGGAACCTCAAGCGCTCCCAGTAATTGAGGTGTTTTATCTCCGTTATGCGCGCCGTGAAGGTTCTCTGTACATTTTCCCAGGTCAGCAATTTCACCTGCCTTGAAAGTGCTGTTAGTGTGCAGCAATATTCCAGCCTAGATAGAACAAGTGACCTGAAGAGTGTCATCATGGGCTTGGCCTCCCTAGTTTTGAAGGTCTCATTATCCATCCTGTCATTTTTCTAGCAGATGTGATTGATACAATGTTATGGTCCTTGAAGGTGAGATCCTCGACATGATCACTCCCAGGGCCCTTTGAGTTGGTGTTTCGCCTATTTTGTGGCCAGAATTTGTTTTGTACTCTGATGAAATTTAATTTCCTCTGTTTTCCATATCTGAGTAATTGAAATTTCTCATCGTGAACTTCATATTGTTTTCTGCAGCCCACTGAAAGTTTGGTTGATGTCCGCCTGGAGCCTTGCAGGGGTCCCGCATGGAAGACACTGTCATGCAGATTCGGGTGTCATCTGCAAAAGGGAAAACACGGTGCTGTGGCTGACATCCTTGTTATGTCGGATATGAGGGTGAGGAACAAGATGGGAGCGAGTACTGTGCCTTGTGGAACAGAGCTTTTCACCGTAGCTGCCTCGGACTTTACTCTGTTGACGACTACTCTCTGTGTTCTGTTAGTGAGGAAATTATAGATCCATCGACCGACTTTCCTGTTATTCCTTTAGCACGCATTTTGTCGCTATTACACCATGGTCACACTTGTCGAAGGCTTTTGCAAAGTCTGTATATATTACATCTGATTTCTTTTGTCTTCTAGTGCATTTAGGACCTTGTCGTAGTGATCCAATAATTGAGACAGACAGGAGCGACCTGTTCTAAACCCATGTTGCCCGGGTTGTGTAACTGTTGGGTTTCTAGATGGGTGGTGATCTTGCTTCTTTGGACCCTTTCAAAGATTTTTTTGATATGGGATGTTAGTGCTATTGGTCTGTAGTTCTTGCTGTTGCTTTACTGCCCCCTTTGTGGAGTGGGGCTTTTCTGTTGTTTTTAGTAACTGTGGGCGACCCCCGTGTCCATGCTCCCTCTCCATAGGATGGAAAAGGCTCGTGATAGGGGCCTCTTGCAGTTCTTGATGAACACGGAGTTCCATGAGTCTGCCCCTGGGGCAGAGTGCATGGGCATGTCATTTATCGCCTGTTCGAAGTCATTTGGCGTCAGGAAAAACATCGGATAGGCTTGTGTTAATCAAATTTTGTGGCTCTCTCATGAAAAAATTCATTTTGATCTTCGACTCTCAGTCTGGTTAGCGGCTTGCTAAAAACTGAGTCATATTGGGACTTGAGTAGCTCACTCAATTTTCCCTTTCTGTCATCTGTGTAGGACCCATCTTGTTTAGTAGGGGCCCAATACTGGACGTTGTTCTCGACTTTGATTTGGCATAAAGGGGAAGAAATACTTTGGGTTTCTTTCGATTTCATTTATGGCTTTTAGTTTCTTCCCCTGATTCCTGACTCCTATAAGATTCCTTTAGTTGAGTTCGATGCTTGCTATTTCTCTGACCAGTTCTCCCTACGCATTTCAGATATATTGACCCCTTTTAGCCGCTCTGTTATTCTTTTCCGTCGCCTGTAAAGGGAGCGCCTGTCTCTTTCTATTTTACATCTACTCCTCCTTTTTCTTAGAGGAATAAGCCTTGTGCATACATCGAGTGCCACCAAGTTAATTTTGTTCTAGGCATAAGTTGGGTCTGTGTTGCTTAGTAATCTTCCCCGCTTATATCGGTTAGGACTTGGTTTACTTGGTCTCACTTTATGTTTTTGTTATTGAAGTTGAATTTGGTGAATGCTCCCTCGTGACTAATTTTATTATATCGGTCTGGGGCTCCGCGCATACATGTCTGAACCTCAATTATGTTGTGATCTGAGTATATTGTTTTTGATATGGTGACATTTCTTATCAGATCATCATTGTTAGTGAAGATGAGGTCTAGTGTATTCTCCAGTCTAGTAGGCTCTATTATTTGCTGGTTTAAATTGAATTTTGTGCAGAGATTTAAAAGCTCGTGTGAGTGTGAGTTTTCATCAGAGCTGCCTCCTGGTGTTATTTCTGCAACAATATTATTTGCTATATTCCTCCATTTTAGGTGCCTTAAGTTGAAATCCCCCAGGAGCAAGATGTTGGGTGCAGGAGCTGGAAGATTTTCCAGACAGTGGTCAATTTTTAACAGCTGTTCCTGGAATTGCTGGGATGTTGCATCCGGAGGCTTGTAGACTACCACAACGACTAGGTTTTGTGGCATGATCAGATAGATCTGATAATTATTTAACCTGTGGCCATACCTAGAGTATACCTGGAGGGGGTTTCAGGGGGGTCAATGGCCCCGCAGCCCAGTCTGTGACCAGTCCTCTGTGTCAACCTGAAACCTGCTTATGTTACTGCTAATGCTCCCTGGTTTTATAACTCTTGAAATGATAAATATGTTGCTTAGTTAAACTGTTGTACGTATAATAAAATCACAATATCATTGGAGTAATTTAAAACGACCCATAAACTGAAAAAGGAAAGTAGACAGCATTTCAATTTGTCTTGGATTATTAAAGTGATTTGATAATGGTTCAGGATGGCCTGAAGAATCTGGTTTCTATTTCAGATCTATAGACTTTGTATAGTGTTATAGTTTTAAGACCCTGCATTCATCCTACCTGACAACTAAACTCCAAAAGTGTCTGCATTCTTAACATTTTGAATCTATACCACCACTAGACTCCAAAATTGTCCTGGTGTTGTTCCTGACATACTCACATAACACCAGCTGTGATCTGACCCCTGCAAACATAATTATGTGAGCACATTATAATTTGAATATTCACGTGTACCTGTGCTAGTGGGTGTACCATGGGCGGCCAGGACCATCCCCTCAGCACGGAGCCTCATACGGGCATAGTCTCCCAGTAGAAGATCCTTCTCTGGGGTGGAGGGTGTGAGTGTCTCTGTGTGCTCCAGGAGCTTGATACCGCCCATCTTGACAGAGACATCACTGGTGTGGACTAACACAGACACCCCTGCCTGGCAGCAAGCCTTCACCACATTCATCACTCCTGCAGCAGTACCATTCAAAGAGTCAGATATACTACCATACAAGAGGAAAGGGGGCACAAAAGTTAAAACAGAAATACATTTCTATATTCTAGATTAAGGTTTATTTAAAAAACTACAAAAGGATTAAATACAGTTAAAATAAGGTAAAATATTTTCTATAATTAAAGTCATAATTTTAATAAGGGTTTAGAAAAATAATAGGCAAATACTGAATATGAATGAGGTAAAAAAAGCTCATGAGTGGAATGAAATACAATGAAGATAGTACTAGCAGATATTACTTAGGTGTACTCTTGAGTACTATTTGAATATTGTCTTACAGTGAGGTGCCTGACCCCTCATGATAACCATGGACATGGATCACTGTTCCTTCAAGTGGGCAGTGCCTTGATGCTAATGAAGGACTCTTGATCCAAATAATCGAAACTACCTTTCCTTTTCTTTTGACCAAAGAAGACTGACCCTTATTCCCAGGTACTGTGTGACCCCTACGGATTCTGTGCTCTCCCGTTGTTACACCCTTTTGTCCATTTTAAGTAGACTGTTTCTAATTGTTATTATCACAATGGTATACGTTTACATGTTATTTTTGCTATTTCACTTAATATTATATTCAGGAGTAATTCCATTATTAGCAAAATTGGATTTACCCGACTTACTAATGGGGGAACCACTGTATTAGTAAGCTGTGAGGGATGCCTGACTCACTCTCAGTGATGATCTGTTGCACACAGTGGTCACAACACCCAAGTCATATCTGTCACACACCATCAATGTTGACCTGTTGAATACAGTGGTCATAACCCCCAGATTATCTGTCACTCACCATCGACGTTGACTTCTTGCATATAGTGGTCACAACCCATGTCATCTCTGGTAAAGTCTGGGGTGACTGCTGAGCAGTTAATGACCGCAGCTACCCCAGCCAGGGCCTCCGTCAGTTGAGACAGGTCCCGCACATCACACTTCTGGTACAACACCTTGGCTGGCTCTCCTGCCGGTGACACTGTGGGACCAAGTGAGAGCTACAGATGACTATAGTTAGGTAGCACATCTGTCTTGTGAGCAGGGCATGGAGGATCAAGTGTTCAACACTGTGCTTATGATCCACATAGGGCTAGTGCTCACATACAGTATAATGTTGAAGGAGATTAAACTCAATGTTGTACATTTATAAACGTTTCAACTCTTTAAAACGTTAACCTTATGATGGGGATTAAATATAAATGATACACACATACATTGCAGACTGCTGAACCAGATTCCACTCAGCATTCATACTCATTTACTTACTGCCACCACTATATTGCTCTTAAAATAATTTTTATAACCAAGATTCTCAATCCAAAATTATCTTGTCCTTTTAGTAATTTATACAGGAGGAGGAGTTACTACACTCTTGCTCCTGGCATTTTAGTTGCTTTCTTACGGAGGAAGAATTTGGAATTTGGATAATAATAATAATTCATGTTAAGCGCTAAACCCATGTGGGTCATTCATTGCAAGACATGATGGTGGAGGCTTGATCCTCTGTCTGCTGAGCACCAGACAGACACACTTCCTATTTGTACTCAACTATTTGTACTCGCCTATATGAAGTTACCAAAAGTATTATTCAGAGTACTGAGGAGGGGTTATTTAAGTGGTTTGGATATTTAGAGAGGAAGGAGAAAAGTATGACTGGGAGTGTAAAATTAGAGGGAAGGAGTCAAGGAGGTTTTTAGTGCTAGGAATGTGGACTTTCAGCAAGCTTGTGTGAGTGTTAGATAGCAGTGAGTGAAGGAAAGTGATTTTTATGACATGATGCACTGTTGGACTGTGAGCTAGGTAACATTTTATGAAGCACTGTTGGACTGTGAGCTAGGTAACATTTTATGAAGCACTGTTGGACTGTGAGCTAGGTAACATTTTATGAAGCACTGTTGGACTGTGAGCTAGGTAACATTTTATGAAGGGATTCAGGAAAACCAGTTAGCTGGACTTGAGTCCTGGAGGTCGGAAGTGTAGTGCCAGCACTCTGAAGGTTTGGAGGGTCATATGAAATGTATTATTAGTATAAAGGGGAAGCGCTAAACCCGTAGGATTATATAGCGCCTGTGGGGGGGGGAAGGTATTCAGGCTTAATTCAGGGAACTGGAGCACAGATCCAATTCCCTAGATCAAGAGCCCCTCACCAGTGTCAAGGAACCTCCCTTAAGGGGCATATGAAATGTAATGACAGTGCCCTTCTGACAACACTATGTTGTCATTCATTCAGTGCCTGAATAAATGACTGAAAGTTTTTTTTTTTTTGTTTTTGTCAGGTTACCCTGATTTGGTGGGAGACATCTGGTGTGCTAAAAAAATATTAGTACAATGTTTTATTACTATCCCATCACAATAATAGTTAAAATATTTTAATATACAGAGTGTTGTTAAATACAACAATCATTACGTTTGGAAATCTTATCTTCATATAACTTAAATTGACTAAACTTAGCATTTAACTAGTCTAACTTTAAACATCTTTACAATGGCAAGTACTTTTAAGATCTAGTTTTAGTCTTGCTGAAGTGTTTTACATAAGTAGGGGCTTTCCTTAACATATGAAATGTCACCTAATTTTATGCTAATTATGGAAAATTTTCTAGGGTGATTACCTTCATATACCTCAACATTACATGCATACAAGTAAACTCATTGGGAGACAACCATATTGTTTACCGTAGTCACCCCGTGTAGACATGTGAGAAAACTTAACCACCCCTGGTCACGGCAGGTGGTTCCTTCGACCTCACAATCTTGTCCATATCTATCCGAGACCAGTATGGATTGGATAGCACCCACAAGTACGGTGCTACTAATTAATTGTGGACTGTATAGATTATATTAGTGTAACTGAATGAAGGGGGGGGTAGGTTACACATGGATATATCCATCAAGGAAAAACACTTGTACATAATCTCACTACTTACCAGATATTCTCTGGTGGTCACTTGATGTAGCTGGATCACTCATAACCTATTCAATTACAACATACCTAACTGGCCAGTATCAGTCTGCTATAACTAGAAGGGTTACTTAACTGTGGGTGATTGATACTCCTTATTTCCTCCATTCACCATCTCATTTCGATGTCGTGCTAACCGACACGGTTACGTATTCCAGCAGGAACGAGTAATCCGTCGGTTGGTCCCGGTTTATAGAATCGTGACTCCATAAAGCCTTCACTATCCTCCAGACAAGGAACAACGAGGTGAATATGTGCACACACACTTCTGGGAATGCAGTTCATATCGCTTTCAATGATACCTTAACTTAGTGTTTATTATCACTGATTACAATACGCTTTACAAGAAGGTATCAATGTCTCAATTTATGCACATTATGGAGGCCACTCCATTAAATTTGAGACCGATGAGTGATGATTAAATCATGGGTTTTTTTCCCCATGACACAGTCCCCTGGCGACGGCGCAGTACACCCCGGTCCTACCATTATTCACTCATTTTAACCACACCTTATTCTAGTGGTGCCGTCAAACACATTCCCTCACTCTTCACCAGGGACAGTCACGGCACTTCCTATTATCGAAGTGAGGCCTAATTTAATCCTTAGCCCCCGGAACGCCATTTCCTGTCCCATGTTTTTCACAACCACATAAAACCCATTCAAAAAAACTGCCGCCTCACTCAAAGCCCGAGTCGAAACCTCTACCCCCACACATCTGCTCATGCGCAAAGGAACTCCTTGGTTCTATCCTATTTTCAAATACATTTTTGACCCATATCGAAACATTAAAACACCTATTAGGCACTATAAGCTTCGGAAAATTAAAATATTTTCCACACTGCGGCTGGGCGGGAAGGTCCGTTGCCTAGACGACATACCATGAATTGTGGAGTACAATTTTCCCATCTTCACTGGCCACCTGGCTTGGAAACTCCACATTGGTATTTATATAATCACCCATTAATTCTTTCCCAGACACTGTTAACTCTCAGTTAGGGCCTCCCATCCAAAGCACACTCAAGCTTCCATGCTTCTGGTATTAAACAATTTCCCTCTTATTGTAGGTTGTGACACTAAGCTTAGCTCACTGAGGTTAAATTATTGGGCATACTGGAATTATGGAGACAATTAACAATAACAAGTCTCTCCAGTAATCCCAAAGTCACCCAAAGAGGCCCCACACCTTACTGGCAGATAAGCACTTCAACTTCCATGGCCATCCAAATATATTGCTCCCTCAAAAATGGACCTATTACTGTTCCATTTTCCCTCAGGGTAATCCTTGCACCTTGCATTATTTCATTAACCCCTTTCAACATATCATCATATAGTTCCTCTTCAGTTGACGTCACACAACCCCCGAAATTGTCCACATAAGATTATTACCCAAATACTACGCTCACGGACCACCGTGCACTTAAGGTGTGCATTTATCGGTCGCCTGAAGTAGAACAATTAATTATTTAACTGTTTTATTAATTATATCATTATAAAGCAGTCACAATTTTGGTGTCTTGCTCATTTCGCAAGCTGAGCCATTAACTGTCCATACGCCTTCCTATAATTAGTAGTAAATTCTGGACGGTCGATGCTCCACGGAAGTCCGCACCCAGAATGATCCAGATTCACATTTAACATCCTTCAGGAATTGTCCTAGTAATGGAATCAATTGGACTTTCCTCCATTTATAATAATCTCAATGCGTGTCCAGTCTCCCACAATTAGACTGGTTCAACATCATTCTCGATAGAAGAATACTTGTACTGGTTGACCTATTATGAGTAGACACCGTGACTGATCACTACTCACTTTTCCTATCATTATTACTAGGCGGTAGTCGACCATATATTAAATGCCCGTACCAGGTTTAGGAGAGTGACGCCGCATGCTTATGTATTATGCCCTTTTATCCTGACTTATTACACCAACACCGGCAAGACTACCTTAGCTAGGCCATCATGAATTGCCCTTAGCTGCAAACCTTTATATCAGTCCCTGTATTGTCAGGTTATTAACATTATCAGTATTACACCATTATTATAAGAACTAACTGCATACAACCCTGCACAAACTGTATGGTGCCTTCCCATGTTGCATGATAGCAACGTTTCAATTTGGTATGACAACCCTGTACATTATGATGTCCTAGACATCGATAATTCTTCAAGTTCTTTCATTCTTTCCACTTTTAATATCCCATGAATTATATAGGCATTACAATTTTAGTGGAAATGAATACCCCTGAGCAAAGAGACATCTCCTCTATTTCCTTGCTGACCTCTTATTAACTGGGGTTTAAAACCCTTACTGAGGTACTTATTCCATCTTAACCTTGATGTGAGGAACCACCAGTACTGATTCTGACTTGATATGTGCCTATTTAACTCTTAACTATTAATTAATTACCACTGGATTATTTTTTTCCTTTTGAGACTGACAGATACTTCAAGTATTTTGTTATATCCTTAGAACTTTTGGCTGACGGTCTGCAATTGAAAAATTTAAATTTCCTGCCACCTAGTCTGATTTCCCCCCTCCAGACCGTACTTGGGGGTTTTTTTGGCAAACCCCCCCTTTTGCTTAATAGGTTGATCCAACTCCGGGCTTACACCTTTAATTTTTTCAAAGCCTTACTTTTACAAAAAGTTTTTTTCCAAATTTAATGTTGATTAATTAAAAAATTCTTTCCATTCCATCGCACAATTCCCCAAAATCCTTTCACAGTCTTTAACCACAATTTGTACCAATCAAAAATTTTCTCTAAGCATCTAAATAAACTTTAATTCATTAGGGTTCACGGTTCTTTATTCATAAATCAAATGCCTTCGTCACAGCTTTTTTAAAAGCCTGAATGGCTTTTCATTACCTAAAATTCACGACTTGTCAGCCACATTACTCCATTAATCCTCAGGAGAGAAATTTTTAATCCGATTTACAAAATTTAAATAGGGCCCTTATAAAGGGAAAATTTTTGCATTTACTCTTGTAAAAATCCTAGCCACCCATGTGCTGAAT